AAGTCAGGGTAAAAGGGAATTTATGTGGTCGGGAAGAGCAGTGTAAGATTTTTTACTGTTGCTATTTATTGCTTTTCTCTGGTGCCAGATATCTTCCTTTATTCTAAAACTAGTGTCCCGTCCTGTCAAATGGATAAGTCAATACAATTACTTCTAAACGTTCCTTGACTTTCCATTTTAAGCAGCATTTTGAAGCCATTTCTCTCCTATACTGTACTCTGCCAACCAGCCCAATGAATATTACTCTCTGGCCATGAAAGATACATTCATTTTGTTCAACGAAAAGTAGAAAACGTCTACAGTACTTTCACAAAGTATATCACGTGCAATCAGATTGTAACACATACAGTGAGAAGGAGAAAGTGGTCAACCTAATGTATCTTACTTTAAAGCAGTGGTTCTCAACCTTTCTAATGCTGCAATGTATTTTCATTGTTAAAAAGGGGTCATGAACCACAGGTCGAGAATTGCTGCTATAAAGTAAGAATGCATGTTCAATAAACGTACCAGGGAGTCATACATCTGAATGAATGAGTAGGATATTTTTAAATATTTGCTACTGTTCAGAAGCTTTTGAGATTCTTCTCTTGGCCTAGCCTTCCAGGAATGTTTATAAATTTCTTTGGAAGTTTAGTTTCATTTGTTTATAGACTTCCTTCTTTGTTGATTCACAATGCAAATAACATCATTTATTCTCTATAACCCTTATTTCAACATTGAGCATGAAATATAATTAGTCTATTTTTTAAAAAATCAAATTCATTTTCAAAGAACAAAAATTCTGGAGTAATTGTGAAAGAATAAGATTTACACTCTAAAAGCCATTTCAAAAAAGAGCTTCTAAATTGATGATTCTTACTTGAGGCAATAAGGTTAGTACTGTTGAAACAGATGTATAATATACAGCTGTTGCAATATGTTGGTTTAAAATTATAGTCTGGTGTAAAGTTCAGTTGCATCTGATGCTTCGTCTCCTATGCCTGCATGTTTAGCTATGCACAAGGTCAAAATTGCTTAAAGTTAATCTGAGTATTTACTTATATTCTGGATCATTTCCAACTCAGAAAATTTCTTTCTGTGGGGAAAAGATGAATTTTGGGGGGGATTTAATCCACTCTTCCTTCTTACCTCATATTTAGAAACGTACCTTCCTAACTAAAATTACAAGTGATGAGATCGAGTCATTCACACTCACAACACATTGCCTTTGGAACAATATCATATCTTTTCACAACTCTTCAAGTACTGATTTTTGCTTATGAATTAAAATGACTTCTTTCCCACACAAAATACTAGAAAACGGCCCTAATTTCAAACTTTTTGATAAATATGTGGTCAACCAGTCTCTCTAGGAGTTGTCTCTGATCCTAGGCCTGTGTGAGATCACACAATTAGTGCAACTGACCATTGACCCTTTGCATAGCTGAAAGCTTTGGTGTGTTGGTAACTGCTCTTCTTGACAAAACACAGTTTTTCATAACTTCCCTGCTTCTATCTGCTGCTCTGGGAATGGTAATTTAGTATAACTATCAAAAAAATTAAAAATATATTAGAAACTTTACAGTTTTATCCTTGACAATGCTTATTTTTAAAGCGGCATAGTTTTACTCACTACAAGTGCTTAAATATGTGGAAACATTGTTGTCAGTTATAACTCAATCAGGTCTTACACAAAAGTAATTTCTTTCATCTCTAAAATCTATGTATTTCATTTTATTCACTTTTTATGAAATAGTTTTAGACTTCCGTTGTATTGGCTTTTGTCTTTTTCTAAGTATACACTGGTAATTCTTCTGACTTCAAATAAATTTAAAATATTTCCCAATAAAACAATCTCCCCAAATGACAAAGTCTGACCTTGGGAGAGAAGTTTAATTTTAACTACCTTCTGTTTCATTTTGCAACTTTTGAAATTGGTCTTTAAGTCCTTCCTCGTGTTGTCTGGTAAAATAGGAAATGATGCCTCAGATTTACATCTGTGCTCACACATGTCTCAAAAACGAATCTGCATCTCTAATAACTATCAAAGCTAATAAGCCTAGGAACTTTAGAAATAAATTGCAATGATTATTTTCCCATTATATTTAAAAAGCATGTCAATTTAATTATGGCTGATTTAAGAGTTAAATATATATGATCATTATGCTCAGTAGACTGTTAAAACCAAAATAAACTATTTTTATTCTTTAAACATTTGCAAATTAATCTAGTATTTTTCTGTATTAATTCTACTAATTTCCCTCATATACTTTAAAATCTACATTACCTAAATGACAATTACCTAAGCATGCTGCCTTAATGTTGTACATTTAACACGCATGTGTTTATGTCTCTAAACTCATGCTGCTGACTTAGTAATTCTGAACTAGCCTTTTGGAAACTCCTGGCCTCAAGTGAGCCTCTCACCTCAGCTTCCTAAAGCCCTGGAATTCCCTGTGTGAGCCACCATGCCTGGACCACCCTCATTTACTTATTAGTTGACTATAGTTTTGCTTCAAAGAAGTTATCAAAGACCTATTCCTGATGACCCTGCTAGATTAAACCAGAGGTGAGTGTAACATATCAAGGCATGCACATAGAAGCAAAATGCTGTGCTTATCAGTAGGACATTTGCTTTTCATGGTGTTGGGTTCATGAAAACCAATGAGAATTTTTGGCCCAGGGGAATGTGTAACAAATATGCTTCCATACTCACCGCCAATAGTTATGCTGATCATCCGTGTAAGTTTCTAAACAGTGGCAGGATTTTTCACACCCTCTGGTACATTTTCACTGTATACTTTCTGAATGTGTATGAACACTTCATTGAAAGATATGCTGAATTAAGATGATGGATTGTCCAGGTCCCATTCATCAATATTAAAATGATTTTTAATCATATACATTAGAATCATCTGTATCTCAGATTTTTTTTTTCTTTTTATGGTGAGTTAAAAGCATTTGCAGTAAATGGTGTTGTTGCAATTGGCTAGTAGGAATGATAGATAGAAATTTAAAATGTCGTTTCCTTATAATATTCAGATTCATTGAGTTTCTAATCATCGCCTTTATAGGAGCTATTCAAGGATTTCTAATTAAATTTATGACCTTGTACCAAAATCACATCTTGAAGTTCTTTGTTTTGACTCATGTAAGTCTAGTTATTTTAGCCTTATATTTATTTTTCCTTCAAAGTCTTTCTTTGGTACTCTAAGAGAGATATTTTATTTAAGATGATAATTAACTAATATAAAATTTACTCTTACTATCTTCATATTTAATTAAGACTTTCTTATTTATGTCATAACCTTAGCAAGGACTAGAAGTATTCCTGAATGTCAGCCTCTTACCTATTTTCCTCAGCTTTTTAAACATAATCAAGTAGCTGGATTCTGTATTCAGTTTTTCAGATATCCTTTCCCTCATGTCACAAAAGATAAATCCACACAGCTGCACTGACAACATCACAGCTTTGAAAACACGTCCACCCATTACCTTATAAATAGTTCAGTCCCTTACTTTAATCCATCTTCCTCTGTCCATCACTCTGATGTCAAATTTACAGGTTTAAGAATGCATTTTTCTAAACTTCCAGGTTTAAAGCAAGAGTCCAAAAGTCTGTTCACACACTTACACACACTGAAAGAGGTATCACTTTGACTGACAAGATGTCAGTCAACAAACATTCACATTCAGGAATATTTAATAATGTCACCCCAGCATTTTCATTCTGATGAACCTTCAGTGCTCACACTGACAAAAGTCCAACTCTCCCAATATGTGCATAGGGAAAAAGGGCTTAATGGTGACCTGTCCCTCTTCACTCCTCTGTGTTTTGGTATTTTGGTATAATCCTCTATGCTCTACACCTGTTACATAACTCTGGTTGTTCTAATATATTATATATATGTAGTTTTGCTCATTTATTTTACTTGTCTCAGTGTCACGACCCTTCGGGCTCCTATGGCCCTGGTCTCGGTTAGTGCAGGAAGGAATCAGGTGAGAGGCGGATTAGAAATACAAGCTTGTGGAAAGCGGACTAGCCCTTACTTTCCGGGTAGCCCTGAGCAACTTCCGCACCAGCCTTTTATTGAAATGGAATGATACAGGTGAGGGGAGTAATTAACAATGACTACATGTCAGACAATTTCTTTCTTTCTTTTTTTTTTTTAATATGAACCATTTAGAGCCAAGAATGTTGAGTATCTTAAAGTTTAAAGCAGGATTAAAGTAGAAGAAATAACATACTATTGATAGACCAAAATTTCTGGAGAGAGTGGAAAGTCTCTAGAGGTCATGGAATCCACCTAGAGGAAAATGAAGTTTGATATTTATCTAGGTCAGGATCTAAGTTGAAAAGTTCTTCATTTGCCTTAAAGTTAATCAGGGTTTCTCAAATGAGCTGAAACAGGCACTATGAAGTTGATTTGTGAATTTTACCCTTTTACCAAGTCCTTTCTTTTGAAAGACTAATCAGGAATGGTTTGTGGATTTCTACAGGACACATAGAGGAAATCTGTCTCAGCCAACGTCATCACTTTCTAAGAGTTGCAAAAAACTTAGCTTTACTTTCCAATGAATGCTTTTCACTCCCTTGTGGCAAACCAGAGATGAAGTTGAGAGTTACTGTGTCGGTTCTATTCACAAATAAATAAATAAATAACCGTTTCGACCAAAAAATTGAATTTGCATTCTCCTGTCTCCTGGTATGAAGTTCTATCCCAATCATAATTCATTCTGAACACCAACAGTCTGGACTACAATCAATATTTCTCAATATGACTTGAGAAGCATAAGTTAGATTTTATAGCTTGAAAATCACAAGTCTCTTCCATCTACAACTTCATTGTAAACCATGCTCCTGCACTTATCTAAGTATTTGCATTTACAATGTCTATATGTCACATCAGCTTTCTGTTCCAAAAGTCCACCATAAAATCAGCTTAATGTAATTTTTATTTTAAACAATATATATATGATATTTAACATAGAAATAAAGTAATATTGCCCACTGTACTCACATGGCACCGTGCGGAGGTAGAGGTTGTCACGAATGATTTGTTGGAGTTCGTGGTCGACAGAACCCTTCTGAAATCGTAAGTTGAGGTAGTGACGAAGGTCCTTATCAACAATTCCTCCTAAAATAATAACATTACATGCTTAGTAAAGCATACTGGAAAATATGTGAAGTATGTAATTTGTGTCTGTAATATATGTACACGCAGGAACACATTTAAAAGATACAGCATTTCAAATTGCTCTTTTGATCTTCAGAAACATTTACTGCCATAATAATAAAACAAACAATGCTAACTGAGATGATAATTATCCACCAGGTCTATGCTCGGTGTTTCGCGTGTGTGCTTGAATTTATTTTTCATTTAAAATGAAGTCTATATTATGGTGAAAGACATGCTACTCCTGAACTAATATTGAAATATCATAGTATATCTCATCACATGGCTAAAAAGATAATTTATTCATTTATTCATTGCTTCCATTCTGACCTCTTCCAACTCCTGGCAACCACCTTGTAAATCTGACTACTTTAAGTACCTCAGATAAATAGAATCTATGATTTTTGCCTGCTTGCAACTGGCTTATTTTACTTAGCATTATGCCTCCAAAGTTTGAAAAGACTTTTAAGTTATTTAAAGGTACTCCAGATTTCCATAAGCACAGTGAGATGAAAAGTGAAAAGAAAAATACTACACAAACATTAAGGATTTTACTCCTTTCATACAACAAATCGGAGTAATGACTTGGTTCTGAATACACATTCAGGTATTTTTTAACTAGAGACATAGTTTGAAAAAAATTTAGGTGTTTATCTTTTGCCAATAGAAATAGTTCGAGTCTGTTTGCCTTTATAATCTAATGAAATCTAAACTTGACTTTAGTTAAGAAAACCAATAATGTACACCAAAGATTAATTTGATATTAAAGATGAATAAATTAAATTATGAAGATTTATTTTTAAAATATTTCCTTTTTTTATACTGAAAAGGATGTATTATCAATCAAAATACCTATAAAAATATGAGTAAGAATTCCTAAAATTCTTTTCAGTCAAACTTATTAAGGCAACTTCACCAAGTACCATAATTAAATATAGAGAAAATGGGAAATCTGTAATGGTCACAAAACACATACTGTCTTTAAATCCTTTTGACTCAGAATTAGAATTCATAAATTCACTCCCATAATCACCTGCAATATTATTTATGGGTGTGCCCAAATACAGCACAAATACCTTGTACACAAACGTTAGTTAATAACCTTAGAAGTTTTATATTGCAAGGGTTTTGAAGTTTTCACAATCCATCATTTCCGTTTCCTCCTCATCTGCAGGTGCAGCTTCAATAAGATGCCATAGGAAAGAGCATTTTTACAGAAAACATATTCTTTATTGGGGGCACATAAATACTACATCCAGAATGCTTGCACATATAATTTTGGAAATTCAAAATCATTTTCGCAGTCCAAGAAGCAGAGTAGTCAGAAATAAGTCATTTAAAACTGACATTACAATGCCAACAATTACCGATTTACATCTTCAAATGCCCTGAGTTTCTACATGTCTTGGACTTGCTGGTACCAGCCTGAAGTAGTTACTAATTTAGAAATCCTGAAATTATTGATTTCACCTTTTTTTTTTTTTTCTGGTCAGTAAAACATGCTTACCCATGCAAATTCACTGCAGCTACTGAGCAGGCATTAGGCCTGAGTCTTTTCTCAGCTCTCATTTCTGCCAAATTCTAAGGCTACATAGGTCCTTCGGCAACTGTATCCCTTTTCCTTCTTTTTTTCTTTCAGTCTAGTATGTGGAACGTGCCAAGTGATGAGATGCTTTCTGGCAGTCTGTGAGAATGCCAGCTACAGAACAACAGATGTTTTGTGTCCATTAAGAGAGAATCACTCACATAATGTCACACAGATAAGTTCTTTTTGTAGTCCAGGATAATTCTTACCCCTGCTGAAAATGTATCGTCAGTCTTAATCATTTCTTCTATTACAAACATATTGCAATGGCCTTCTCAAAAGTTTGTCTAACTAAGAAAACAACAAGAATTCTAATCTGTCTGTTCATTTCCATGACTGGCTGTTCTCTTTTTGAGAGACGCTTCTCCAACCAAAGCATCTAAGAATTGATATAAAATTTCCTTCACCAATCAAAATGAGTTGTCCCAAATTAAAATAAAATTCTACAGACAAGTCCATTTATTTTGGAAGGATTTTTCTTGCCTCATCTCCCCCAAATACTTTATTATCCTTCATCATTTACCACAGCACCTTCCAAGTCAGGTAAGGCTATTGATCAATATTCTTGTGTGGTAAACTCTTCCAGTTGCCTGCCCAATATTCTTCCTGCTATTCTTTTCTATTAAAAGAATGTTGATTTCGTGTCAAGCAACATCATGACCAACCCCAGGATATGTACTGCAGTGGTGGGAAATAGTCATTTATCCCAGTTCTCTGCTTTCCAAGTTGCCCTTTACACTTCTGGCAGCTCTGTTCTGGCCATTGATATGTCACAGACAGAGGAAAAGCTTTATTCTTTCCAATGGGGCTGATATCTGAGCTGCAGCAGCCACATCTCCCCATGAAATGTCAAGCACAAGTCAACAAGCTAAGGATGCCGGAGCAGAAGTTAGAAAAAGTCTGGGTCTCTGAAGAGTTTACTAAGCAGTTGAAAATAATAACATTTCTTAAGATTTTTTGTTAAAGAAGAAAAAGTAAACACTCATTTTAGAAAACTATTATGGTTGAGTATCTTTTTAAAACTAACATGGTCAAGCAACTGTCAGGACCCCAATCAATATATATGTATATACGTATGTGTATGTATATGTGTGCACCTATAATGTTACTTACACATATAGATTGTATGATATATACACATATACAAAGCAATACTTACCCTTATTTAGAAATTTCAATTACTCTCTGCATAGAGGAATTAAGCAATAGACATTAAGTGACAGTGAACTGACAAATACAGCCAGGGTCACAAGGTGGCCAGATCTCAGGTTTATATAATAGCATTTTAAAGCAAGCTAAAAAAAGGTAGAATTGCACATAGCGTTCAATAAATGTTATCTACATTAACATAAATAAATAACCTGCTATCTTATTTGCCGTATTTATAATTTTTGGTTTTACTAATGTAGAGTTTCTGTTCTGTCATCTGCTAGTGAGTCCTTGATTGGGTAGTTTATAGGACACACATATCCACCTTTCTGTCAGGAGGAGCATGGATGCATGGAATGTCTTATTGCATGCTATAGCTATTAGCACTTCTCTCTTTAAAAAAAATTCAGTGGCTCTTACTTAATATTGTATCTTGGTAACTATTGAATTATTTTATTTAATTATGTAAAAATTTTATTTCCTTATTTAAAAAACAAAACTGTGCTGAAAAGATTAAGTACTCTCTTGAATCACACTTTCAGTAAATGAGTGGGCTAAGAAGGATTTGAAGCCTACAATTATGCTCCAAGTACCTAATTTACATACTCTACAGTCTGAAGACCAAACTTCTTAGAACAAAGCAGTCAAGTCCTTTCTTAGCATCACCCCAATGAAACTTTCAACATGAAACCAAAGTACAACTGAAGAAGAATCCTTGGGAGAGAACTGGGTTCAAACTCTTCCTATAGCAAATGAGCAAAGTGAAGTTCACACAAAGCATTTGGCTTTGGAGCAAAGATGGGGTGGGGAAAAGGGAACACCAGGGAACAACATCCATGCATTTTTTGAGTAGAGAAGCTAAATGGGAACATACAAAACTGGTGTGAACCTAACTGCTTTGTCCTCTTCACCACTTGAATGCCAAGATTGAGGGAGTGAAGGAAGATTCTGCTTAATCACATGGAAAGAGTCTCCTAAGCATATTTCTTAAGAGAATTTGTTAGTCCCAGTCTCATAGCTAAAGCTAGACACTCTTTCTAAATTTAAGGGAGAGAGAAACATACCTGGGTCTGTGTTTGTGCCAAGAATCTGTTGCTAGTAGCTGACTGGTAATCCCACCCCTCACTCATGGGCAGGACCGTTGGCTCAAATTTCCCCTCCCCGTGAAAGAACAGATGGCTTACAAACTTCTCAGTGTCAGCTGAGGGGAGCAGCTCAGTGATGGCAGAGGAGAGGTAGGGAGTGGAAGGTAGTGATGTCCACCAGATTTGGTTCATTCTGACGTCATGTATTCATCCGTGTTTCCGCCTAACTAAGCTGCTTATTTTAATCACCTGTTAACTTTTTCCTCTCTTTAAATTCATTTTCTCTTTAAATCTGTTTTTCAATAACACTTCATAAGATGCTGAGATACACATTTGATTTGGCTTGTGCTTTATTTTTTTGTATTCATCTCTGTGCTTGGTCTTGTACTATTTGCAGCACCCAGAATTTTTTTTCTTTGAGTGGCTATATCTCTGTCATCCTATAAATGTGGGCTCTTGAACCAAGCTGCCCTGCTTCCACTCAGTCTATCAAAATCTCTTTTCCAGGAGTTAATAAAGGACTTGAGTGCCAGTGCATTCATCTTGAACACGGTACCCTGAAGACACTAGCCATCATTCCTGTGTTTTTCTTGCCCACTTCTACAACTTTCCCTCTGTTCCTTGCAACTAAAGAAACACTAAATTGCTTCCATTCTCCAGTTTAAAATCATCTGCTTGGTCTTTTCATGATCTTTGGGCTGGAAGTCTTCTCCCTCTTCTGAACGTCCATGTGCTGGTCATTTCTCTTATGTACTTTGCACATTATAACAATTCATGGGTCTTCTTTATGTTCTCTATTACACTGTAAGCTCCCCAGGACAGAATGTTTTCCATATCTTATCTCATTTTCTCACCTCTAAAGCAGCACCATTTAAATATATGAGACTGTGAAATATTTGCTAAATAAATAAACCATAATGCTATAGTGGAAAGGATGCTAGATTTGGAATCAGGACACTGGGTTTCAGTTATGTCACTACTTCTTCACTAAGTAGTGATGCATAGGTCATTTCTTGATCTCAGTTTTCACATCTATAAATGGTAGGTATCTCAGTCAGTTAAAGCTATTATCAGAGAGTACCTCAGTCTGGGTAGCTTACATAATAAGTACTTATTTCTTACATCCCTGGAGATTAGATGTC